CCAGGCGGCCCCCCTTCCAACAGCCTGCCCAGACAGCTCTTGTGCTGCTGACCTCATGTCTGATTATTGAGGCTTGGGGCCCTGTCCCATAACTGCTCTTCCCAGAGCCACTGTCGCTTTAAGGATTGGTTAGGTTCAACTTAAAACAAAAACAACAAAAACAAAGGGAAGAAAGAGAGAGAGAAAATGTAAAATTGCACTGAATCAAAAAAGGACAGAGCGTCAACTCACTGGGTTGCACCTGGACTCCATGTACCTCTTGAGTTTGTGGTATCCCATGGGAAAAAAAGAACAGAGAGCTTTGTCCCAAGAAGAGTTTAACATCACAGAATTCATCGCGGTTGAAAGAGACTTTTAAAGTTCATCTTCTAAGAGCAGAGAATGATAAAGACGACACATGGAGAGCATTTTACAGGCTCTAAAGTCTTTTCACATGTCTGTCTTGATTCTCCGGGCAATCATTTTAGGAAAGGTATTATTATCCACCCCCTCTCCCCCTTTGAGAGACAAGGAAATCAAAACTCAGGCCATTTGCCCAGGGGCTAAGTGGTGGCCTCCTGTTACTGGTCTCGGGTTGGTTGAGTCCAAATCCCAAGCTCTTCCCACCCCATCACACTCCGCCCCATAAACCACACCATGCTCTGTCAGAACACCTGAAATGTGTCCTCAAGGTTCTCGAGAAACCTTGGAGCCAGAGAGCAATAGGGTTCCAAGACAGCCAACTAAAGGACACGTTAACCCAAGTCTGGTTGCTTCCATGCTGAACGTCGGTGGATTTTTGCAGAGCTGTCCGTGCATCCGTAACACACTGTGCTTGGACAGAGTATCCGTCAGTCAGCTCTCCCAGTCAGTAAGGTTTAACCCCTTCAGAGGACTTACCCAGTTTGGTTGCGGCCCTGGTTTGCACTAAGAACATTACAAAGTTAATGGAGAGCAAGTGGGCTCTGCATAAAGGATGCAACCCTAACATCCTTTGTTACTTCTCTCCGTAGACGCAAATGCTGCCCCCAGGAAGCCAATATCTGCAGCTAACAAAGGAGCCACTGTGCTCTTGAGCGAAGCCACAGGGCACAACAGTCAGAAGGCATGTTCCAGAAGATGGGCAGTGAGCACACACACCCCACAGGTCCAGGATGAAGGCCTGTCCAGAAAAGGGATGGGAAGGTCCCACGAATTCCCCACTGCCCCCCCAGAGCACCTCAGAGCTCTGCCTCAGACCAGAAAATTCTCTGCCCAGATTTCTCCCAGCAGCAGAAAAGCAAAACCACCAGGAGCCCATTAAGAGTTCCCTCACCCCCCATCACCAGGAGCCTGCCCTGGGATGAGGGAGGCCTACAGTGTATTTATAATACGTGGGGTGTGGATCAATGCAAAAAGCAATTGCTTTTTAACAGTGAGCTTTCTTGTTCACAGTCTAGCCCTAAACAACAACCAAGGTGAAAGAGACTGCTGTTTACACAGAGGAAGGGGGACTCAGAACACTGTCCCTTGTGTTACAAAGCCGGCAGCTATAAAGAACATCCTGTTTCTAGGACTGCCTTGCGTGGCCCACATGGTCCGACTGCCCAGGACCAACTCTCTTCACTGGGTGAATTGGAGACAGGCAACGTTTTAAATATTGCTGCAGCTGCTGCTGGGCTGCCCCCATGACCCAGGAAAGAGGGCCCGCGGAGTCAGTGTGCTGGGCATGGCCGGCTGGCTGGAGGCAGGTCAGGCCAGGAGCCAAACCCCAAGTAGCCACTCACGGCCTTTCCCTCACTGAGTTTCCTGAAGTTCTGATTGAGCTCCAGAGGCCCCAGCTCTTCCTGGATGGATCCTGAACTCACCCAACAGCCCTGGGCATGCCACGGGCTTGGCAGAAGGGGCCCCGGTGAACTAGTGGGCCTGCTCCCGTGGCCAGGAGCACTGGGCCAGGCTGGCTTTCAAAGGAGCTTGGGTTCCAACCCTTTGAAAATCTTCCCTATAGCAAAGTGACCGTGGGCTGGTGATTCCCTTGCCACCTCTGCCTTTGCAATCAAAAGGAATGAAAATGTGGGCCTGGAAAGGTAGTTGCTGTGGGCTCCAGCCCAGCCCAGGACGGCAGACACCCAGACCTCTGTCAGGAGCGAGTATTGACATTTATTGACTGTCTGCAGACAGAGGCTGGATCAGGAGCTCCAGGGGTGATCGACGATCAGCCAGCTGATCGTCGATCAGCCCCAAAGAAAGGCCCAGGAATACCACATTACCTGCACAGAACATTCTTCAAACCCTAGCCTGTGCCGGGGCTTGAGCCTAAAACTTCCAGTCTTACCAGACACAACATATATCCATCAGCCAACAGAAACACGTACCACCATCAGGCAGGGGTTCCCTGGTCCAGGGTTCTCAACCAAAGCCATGCCCACCCCCTCCTGGGCCATTTGGAAACTCGGAGAATAGAGTCTGGGTTGTCAGAGTACCTGAGGGATGCGACTGACCTTTAGAGAGTAAGCACCAGGGACGCCAAGCCTCCGGCAACGCAGGAGACAATACAGCGCTAAGAATTGTCCTGCCCAGAACGCCGGCACCTACCATCCCTCAGACCTAATTCACAGCCTGATCTGTCTTGTCTCCCTTGAATAAACATTACGTGGTGCCCTGTAGGTGGGGGGGGGGGGGGGTTCAGTGGGGCAGCCGTGGAGAAGCTGTTTCTTCAGGTGTGGTGCCAGTGGGCATGAGGAGCTGTGTGGTATCACGTCATAAGCGGGGGCCTCGGGGAGCCCTCGACGTTAGGTCCTGCCTGTGTGACCACGGTCAGCATCCCATCTGTACGTGTGGATAAGCACCTGCTCTTCCTTCATAGACTTGTTATGAGGGGTCGGTGAGATCATGTGTTTTCAAGACTGAGTTCAATAAGGATAGTGATGTTTACCATTTAAGAACTGTTAGCCCAAGAATCTAGATCTGAATTTGTCAGTAGCAGACACAGTGTGGTCAAGTGGAAGGAAGACTGATTGAACTTTAGAAAATCTATCAAACCCCAGATCTACTTTTTTACCTGTAATGTCTTAGGCCAATCAGTTGACCTCTTCAGAGCTCCATCTTTTCGCACCTGAGAAAGTTCTGGAATGTTCCTAAAATTAGGAACCAAGAGTGATTTACCTGCTGTAAGGAGCAGTACAAAGTACCCACCACACATTTCATCTATGGAGAAGCATCTAAAGCTAGACTATCACACCCATAGGTCAGTGTTTTCTCCTTCACTTAGGATGACGTCATTTCCTCCGTGATTAAAAGTAATCAGTGCAAAAACATACAGAAAGATGTTCAAGCTCACTAATAATAAATACAGAAAGATGTTCAAGCTCACTAATAATAAAAGATGCATATTAAAATATCAAGAGACCATTTTTCATATAACACATTGGCAAAGATTCAAAAGGCAGATCATGCTCAGTGTTGGTGAGGGAAACAGGCTTCTTATATATAAACACTGTGGGTGGAAATATTAATTGATACAATATTTCTGGAAGACAATATGGCAAGACATAACAAAAATTATATATACGTATGCATATATACACACACACATATATATATAAAGGAAATAATTAGTACTTACAAAATACTGTACAAAATGTTTATTGCAGCATTCCCTCCAACAGATAAAAACTGGGGATAGTCTGAATGTTCTTTAACTGGAGATTGGTTAAATAAATAATGCCACACCCATTTATTGGAATATAGGCAGTCATTACAAAACATAAAATAGAGCTATATGCAGTCTCGTGGAAAGATGTTTAGATTAGATTACTAAGTGGTAAATAGCCAATTATTGGACAGTAGTAACTACAGTACATTCCCATCGTGGCAAAAAAAAAAGGGGGGGGGTGGCTTATAGCTATATTTCACAAGTCTGAAAGAAAACACACTAGATTCATTGGTTACCTAAGAGAAACAGACTAGGCATTGGGGACAGAAAAGATTTTCAATTTCTATCTGGAGGTGCATTATATTTAGAGGTACATTCTACCGAAATGCCAAGCGGTCAAGGGTTAAAATTCAGGCCAAACCCTACACATAATTTTATATTTCAACTTTATCCCAACTTTGATTAAGATTACAGTGAAACTTCGAGGGCTCACATGGAGTACAGAAAGCCTGTTTCTGGACAATCAGCTTAGAGGGACGTCTGCCACCCTGTTGCTGCCCGTTCATGTCACCGAGGAGATGGCCACTTTCAACCGAGGTAGGGCAGAAGCAAGATGCTTTGAAGGGAGTGTCTCACTTTTCTCTTTTTCTTCGATCTTCTCATATTCTCTATTATGTCTGCATCAAGGATCGTTGATCATAGATGCTGTACGTGATTTTGATGTGTTTCTTCCTTTTGAAACGTTAAGGTGGTAAAGCGGCCGTCCTGTCCCTTATTCATCCTCACGAGATGTGCAGCCTTTGCAGATCAGGCTTTTTCTTGAAAGATTTGTGGCCTAAAGAGAAGTAAACATTTCCAAGTTAAAACTGTTCTGAAAGGTTGTTTTGTTTAATGTCATGAATGTTATTACAACAAAAAATTCTAAAAAATGAGACTTAATGATGATCTAATTATCTTCATCAACTGCTATCACAAATTACCATAGACTTAAACAGCAAACATTTCTTTCTCACGGTTCTGGAGGCTGGAAGTCCTAGAGCGGGTTGCCAGCAGATCCCAGGTCTTAGAAGGGCCCTCCTCCTGGTTTGCAAACAGCCCCTCTTGCAGTATCCTCACTCAGCACAAAGAGAGCCAGGTCCCTGGGCCCTACAAGGGGCGCTCGTCCCAACATGGGGCCCCACCCTGGTGACCCTAAGAACCTCCCAGAGGCCTAACCTCTAAAACCACCACACTGGGGGTCAGGGTCTCCATGTATGAATTTGGGGGAAATACAAACATTCAGGTCATAGCACTAACCTACTTTTTTGTCTTGTTATTTTTTACATTTTCATAAAATTGTTGGTTCCCGAAAAGGATATAAGGATATACTGGTTTTTTCCCAAAGTCATCTAGCTAGTCTATTGTCTCCTACCCTGCACAGGAAGTATCAGCTCTTTCCCTATTTATTTAACTATTCGAAAGTTCATAAATTTGTGCATAAAATTAATAACTTCCAGTCTCGTGGTTACTGTAGCGCTTCGTTTTTACAATTATAAATGCACATTTGTACTTCAACTGATAGATATCATTTCAACATATAAAGCGCAAAAGGGATTCCCACTCCAAGTTACATCTAGAGGGCTTGCCTCTCTTTCAAAGCAAATGTGCAGCTATTAATAAATGTGAATGCCACGCCTTGTTCATAGCTCCGCTGTTGTTGTGATTAGATACGAAGCAATCCCACAACCGTCGATCACACACAGGTTTGGGGATGCCAGAAATGATGCTGGAGTTGGCATCAACTACCCGGCCCTCCAAAGGCCAAACCCAAAACTGACGCCAAATATCAGATTTGGACCAAATACCAAGGCCGAAGTTGGCCTTGAGCGCATCTCAAACTTATTCTTATCTGCAACGTTTGGTTTTCTTACAAGAAGCAAATATTTGTTTTATGAATGAACAGATATTTCTCTTAAAATCAACTAGTTCCCCATCCCTGAAAAAAAAAAAGTATGGGTAGGTAGCAATATTGGATTAGACCTCCCAATAGTTCCCAACCTTTTGAATAGCGGTTGTTGTTTGATTATTATTTGGTTGTGGATACAATCTTAGGCCTTGCAGTCTCCCCTGAGATCACCACCACTCAGAAGTTCCTCATGGGGGCAGCTCTCTGCCCATCACCACTGTCCCTCACCGCCCCCCTCCCCTGCGCAAAACTTCCTAGGACTTCTCTCACTGACATAGAGCCTAATCCTTAGGGCAACAGCATCTCCCAAAAGATGGCCCCACCCTACGTTTCCCAGGCCCCCTTCCCTCGCAGACCATGCTCCCAGCACCCTGGACTCTGTTCCTCCTGCTGCCATCCCCTCAGCGCTGTCCCCGGTGAATTTGTACTTATCCTTCAAGATCCCGGGTCAACATCACCCCGTCCATGAAGTCCTCTTCCTCCATGTTCCAGCAGAATCCGTCTGTCCTCGTGGCCAGCATGAACACAGTGCCCACCCCACTCATCTGCAGATTCCTGAAAACAAGGACCACATCATGGCCACCTTCAAGACCCAGCCTCCCGCACAGTTGTAGCAAATACGTCCTTCCAGCAAACAAGGATCTCAGCAAATGTGGAGAGAAAGAATAAATGAATGAGCAGAGATAATTAATCCCAAATCTTTGTGTGAATTTTACACCCACCCCTGCATATCAATATGAATGTTCCGAATAGGTTGCCAAAGCCAGAGGTGGAAATCACTGGGCCATTGGTTTTCTTTTTTTTTTTTAGGTATTACCTTTTTTTTTTTTTAATTTTATTTATTTATTTAACAGAGAGAGACACAGCGAGAGAGGGAACACAAGCAGGGGGAGTGGGAGAGGGAGAAGCAGGCTTCCCGCTGAGCAGGGAGCCCGATGTGGGGCTCGATCCCAGGACCCTGGGATCATGACCTGAGCCAAAGGCAGACACTCAACCATCTGAGCCACCCAGGCGCCCCTGGGCCATTGGTTTTCAAACCTTGTTCGCTGGAGACTGAGCGCTGCTGTGGGTGCCGGGAGAAGCAAAGTGCCCTCCTCACCCACTGTGCGTAGAGCAGAACCTCTGGGCTCCTTACCTCCAGATTCCTGGTGACGGTGGTTGGCAAGGGGGGGAAATGTACTGCTGCCAGAAAGAGGCTGAGAACCACTCTTTGGTGACCAGGCCTGATCTGAGAAGTTCACCTATAACGCAAGAATGTCATTGAAATAAGAGGTATTGGCTTGAGAGTGAAATTGGAGTTTCCTCTGAAACCAACTGTGTGTCCTTGGGCAACCTTCTGCCTCGGTCTCCCCACATATAAAGCAAGGCTACCAATGCCTGCCCGTGTGTGACTGTGAGTGGGGTAAGGGGGAAAAGACCAGGTGTTACAAATACAAAGCTTGTTTGGGGCCTGGGTGGCTCAGTCGGTTAAGCGTCTGTGACTTCGGCTCAGGTCATGATCTCAGGGTGGTGAGATCGAGCTCTGTGTCAGGGCTCTATACTCAGCGGGGAGCCTGCTTCTCCCTCTGCCCCTCCCCCTGCTCATGCTCTCTCTCTCATATACATAAATAAAATCTTTTAAAAAAAGTATGAAGTTCGTAAAGGGCACTAACCTTAAGTTTACAGTGATGGGTTTAACTTCTGTATACCCTGGGTCATCTCTACTCAAACCAAGCCATAGAGCCATTCATTTCCAGCACCCGGCAGGGCTCCCTTGCATCCCTTCCCACTGTGTCTCCACCAACCCCCCAACCCCCAGCCAAAAGGAAGGACTATTCTGACTTCTTTCCCCACAGATCAGTTTTGCCTCTTTGTAAACCTCACATAAGTTGATCCTACGGCATGCATTCTTTAGAGGCTGTCTCCTTTAACTTAACATAATATCTGGAGTTTAGCCCATGCACCTGTACGTTTCCTTTAGTTTCTTGGAACAGCCAAATAGAACATCAAAGAAGAAAAGAACTGGGAAAGCATAAAACACAAAAATAGGCAAGGCGTAGTATCAGTAGCTGAGTCTCAGGCCGTCTGTGACTGGAAGCTTCCCGAGAGTGAAAATGATGTCCTGTTCCTTTTTTAGTATTTCCAGCCCTCAAAATTAGGCCTGGCTCATAACTGGGGCCGGACACATTTTGCTTGACTTGAAAATTGTTATGACTCCGTCGACCATCTAGTCTTTTCGTCGCCGTGGGTTTTTTTACCCACAGCCCAGTTGCACCCCCAGCTCCCCAGCGCAGTCCCACCGCGCTGGACCCTGCCCTTTGTCTCTCCTCCCACGGGCTGTGTGAGGAAGGTGTCCCTGTTTTCGGCCCGACTGCTTCGCTCTCCAGACACTGGCATGACTCACCCAGTGGAGAGAGGGAGCGAGGAGGGAGTGGGGGTAAGCGGCACAAGGTCCTAGACAGAGAAGTCTCTCCGGAGAGGCTCCCTGGCCAGGCCTGGGGAAAGAGCTGGAAGCTGCAAGCCCACATGCAGTGTTCAGGGGGGCCACGGTGCCCCCCTGGTCTCCCTCTGAGGCCCACGACCTTCCCCCCTCCGTGGGCTCCACGGCCAAGTTTAGAGCTCACGGCGGCTGCTGGGTCACACTGTCACTCCAGCTGTTACTGAGCAATGGATTCCTGTTGCCAAGATATGGATTTGGTTTTAATAACAGTTAGTGCAAACACTGTAAATTTACTGCTGCGAGAGAGAGTTTTTGAAAATGTCCACTCTGGCTATAATTTTTCAGCCGAGCCAGCTGTTTGTGCTCAGCTCATACCTGACATGGTGCTTTGAAATAGCAATCACTGTATTTATAAGAAGGCAAGGACTCATAAATATGTCACAAGTGGAATATACAACGCCATATTTCACCATTCTCTATTTTAAAATTGTGAGTTATGGCTGCAGAAATGCACACCCATTAAAGGTGATATGATGTATTTTCTGCCCTGTTCAGGAGTCCATCCATCATCGAGACAATAAAGAAAACCGCACTTACTTTTTTCCTGTCGTCTGTAATTTATGATCCCCAAAAAGCTGTAACCTTTTGGCAGGCTTTGCAGAAACCACTGCACTGTTAGCAACTAAATAACCTTTTATAAGGTTTTAAATGTGTTGCTACAGTCTCAATGCACTTGCTGTATTGATCCAGAAGATCTTGCGGGAAAAAAAAAAGAAGGAAAGGTAGAGGAGGAATGGAAGATGATCTATAACAAGATCGATAACGGCATATAGATTGTTGAAAGATGCTTCTAATGATTTTTGCCAGCCATCATCCTTCAGCACGCCACGCCCTATCTCTTAGGCTTTAGTCTGGGCTGGAATTGATTGACCTTGCTTTCCTGCAGCCTCCTCCCTCCCTCCCTTCTGTCGGGCAGCCAGACAGGGAGAAACAGAATGTATTGGCCACCACAGGCTATTTGCAGGAAAGCTCTGAGGATCACAGAGCTGGAAGGGGCTGGCAAGACTACTTCAGTATCCAGATAAGGAAACTGAGGCCCAGGAAGTGTCTGTGACTTGCCCAAGGTCAAAAGGCAATTTAGGAGCAAGAGCTCAGACTCGGATTCCTGGTTTTCAGTATACCCTGTTCCCCAGTCAACCATTGGCCATCTCATGTTTGCCTCACAGGAAGAGGGCATGCACCGAGCAGGTGGATGCTTTTCTGATGAGTTTGGCAGTCCCAATAAATCTGCCTTACAGTGAGGCGTAGTGGGAAGATGACAAGCTCGGGAATCAGATAAAACCAGGCTGAATCTAGATTCCCCACCCCTCCCACTCCTGTGGGCAGTAACTAACCTGTCTGGATCTCTGCTACTCCACTTGTAAGATGCCAATCACAGTCTACCTTGTAAGGTGGTGGAGAAGATTAGATGTGGTGTCGGGGTGACATCGAGCTCAAAGCAATTGGCTGCCATTCTGCCCCATCACTAGCGTTTTCTGGATTCTTTTTCCTTCCCCTTTGCTCCCCCCTTATCCTCCAGGACAGTAGCAACGGAAACTTCCAGGCAAGAGCCAGCTATGGAGGAAAGTGGACCAGTCTTTCCAACCAAAAAATCTTTGGTTTGGAGGCATTTCCTTGCTCATCACAGATGAAGGCAGCTAAGGTGAAAACGATTTTTTCCCTCTCTCTATGCATAAGCTGAGCCAAGCCCTGGGAAGTATGGAGACCAGGTCTAGGCAATTCCCTTTGGAGGAGCCCTCAGGAGGCCATGGGTAATTGAGCTTTTAACACTATATTCTTGGTAGGGAAAATTTGCAGGTAAAAAAAAAAAAACCATTCTTGTGAAGCAACCAGACTATGGGGCAATGCATATATCTCCTCCAGACAGCCCTGCGTTCTTGAATTCAGTGCTCCTAGCCCTGGGGACATGCTGCTTTGGAGCAGGAGTTGACAAGTTATGACCTGCAGGATAAATCTGGCCACAGCCTGTGTTTGTAAATAAAGTTTCATTGGCACGTAGCCACGCCCATTCGATTATATATTGTCAAAGGCTGCTTTCAGCTACACCTGCCTAGGTGAGTCTTTCCAGCAGAGACCGAGAGGCACGCCAAGCCTAACATCATTACTAACTAGCCCTTTCTGAAAAAAAGTTACAAACCCCTTATCTAGAGTCCACCCAACAAGGCTGTGTGCCAGAGGGCGCTTCCCAGTAGAAGGCCATCAATAATTATGATCTGTATGGCAACTTATAGTTTACAAAATCTTTCACAAACATGATCTTGGGTGAATCACCCAACAATCCTGTGAGATGGAGATTCTGATGATTTTCCCAATGGTACAGAGGAGCATCCTGAGACTCAGAGAAGCAAAATAATTTGCCCAGTTCATACAAACTGCCAGAAGCAGAGCTGGGAACTGAGCCCAGTCTGGATGGACCTAAGGGGCCAAGCTTCTCCACCATTCCACCCTGAAATGGGAAACCCGTGCCCCTCCCGTGCAGCCTCCCCCCCCGCCCCCCCCCCCCCCCAGTGCTACAGTTCACCAGCCAGTCACCTGGGAAGGTCACTCAGCCCCTCTGGACCTTCTCTTTCTCATATCCAGAATAAGGAATCACTAAAATACTCATTTGGAAAGATGCTAAGGGACTTTCCAATAACACAGGCACTTTGTGAAACATTTCCTAGGGCAAAAACACTATTTCCTTCACCCAATCTAACTCCTGTTCCACCCACAGACAGACCATAGGAGAAGATAGTGAGGCAGGTCTGAGGTGGGAAGGAGGGGGGAGAAGGAGCCCACTATACAGACCAGCCTTCCTAAAGCCTGCTGAGTGCCCCTGGATCCCACGCGCCACATCAGGGGCAGTAACTGCAGGCCCAGAGAGGCTGCCGAGCACATGCAAGACTCTTCCCTGGCTCCTGACCATTTGGCCTCCAGAGAAAGAGCAGTGTGCAAGGCCCCCAAAGCCCCGGCTGCCTAGTGCGGGGGTGTGGGGGTGTGGGGTTGGGGGGGCAGGTGTTGCCCCTCACACCTGGTGGGAGTGTGGGTCAAGAGCAGGATAACAGAGCTAAGAGCAGTCACCCCTCTGCCACAGGTCCCGCCATCTGTGTCAAAGTCTCTCTCGCTCTCTTCCTGCGCTCTCCCAGAGCACCCCCCAAATCATTATTAACATTATAAATAAAAACGAAAGGCAAGTTATTAAATGTAAAATATGCAGAGTTCCTCCCAGAACTCGCCAGGCAGTTCATAAACGTGACGGCTTAATTTTGCTGCTGATCCAGGCATCTGATGAAGCATCTCCAGCTCCTGGGCTAATTGAAGCTGTTAACGAAGTAGAGGAGAGAGAAGACTGTGGGCGGCTTCTGTCCTGCCTGCCGGGGATCAGAAGGGCGGCCTTGGGCCCAGATGGAGCCCGCAGTCTCCAGCATGTCGCTTCGGCTACCCACACCAGGGGCCTAGGAACTCCCAAAAAGGGAGCCCCTTCGCTGCATTGACATCTCCACTCCTCAGCTGAGCCCTCAAAACATCCACCTGGAGCCCGCTTGAAGAACCAAGAGGAGTTCCTCCTTCTTACCTGGAGAAAAGTATTTTCAAATAAGATCTAGATAAGGTTGATTTTTAGGACAACCCAGTGATTCTGGCCCTAGGATCCTTGTCCTCAAAACCCAGGCTGAGTGGAAATGACCCAAACCTCCATCAACAGATAAATGGTGAATAAATTGTGGCATCTCCATACAATCCATACAATGGAATATTATTCTGGCATAACAAGGAATAAAGTAC